TCCCTCTCAAACCCTTTTTCTTGGCCATCCGATGAGTCTGCATTCGTCCCTTGCAAGCTGCCAAAAAATGCAAGTGCCTGCCGCGACTGTCTTTTTTTTTTTTTAAAGTAATTTAGCAAAATGATAATAAAATTAAGTAAAAACAAACAATTCAATTAACATCAGATAAAAATAAATAAACTAGAAATAATAAACAGAAAAATGGCAATTTCTTCATTTTTCTTTTTTTTTCATTATTTTTCATTTTTCATCATTTTTCTCTTTTTCTTCTTTTTTTCTTTTTTTTTTTTTTTTAAGAAAACATTGAATTTGAATAAAAACAACTAATTAAAATACAATATAAGACACGAGACAGGAATCAACCAAAATAAATCTAAAATTGAACAAATAAATCCAAACTAAACTAATTTAAAAAAAATAAAATTCGAAACCAAAAATTTGGTGTCTACAACAGCAAAGCATCAGTTTTAATAAAAAAACAAGCACAATCCATCTAAAAATGATAAAATGTGCGTTGTACATTGAACAAAAGGAGATCAGCAACCAATGGACAATCACAGCATCCGAAATATGCATTTGTCTCTACCTCACTACAAGTGCAACCATAAAAAAATAGCAAAAGCAACGTGAGGATTTGCAGCAACTTCGCTCACTTCACTCTAGTTTCATGAACGAAAGTGAGCTGATGATTTTTGTTCATACATAGAGCAGACTATTACAAGGGAAATTCGGTATGGATTAGTATTATCTTGTCATAAAACAGAGAGGAGCTAAGTGCACGAACTACCACTATCATGCCATGAAACAAAGAAAACCCAAATCATTCTCCTACCCAACATCAAACAGACTCGAGGGTCATTAACCACCTTATTAAAACTTCATCTTAGCATTGTTAGCAACACACAGGTGCACCTACCCATTCCCAGCAGGTTCAACGATGCTATCAGCTATGAAAATGCAGTAAAGATTCAAAGGAAACAACTTGCGGATGCATCTTATCAGCAAACTCAAGCAACTTGTAATCTCAACATGCATTATATTCATCATGATCACACCCTTAAACAAACAACAAAGATAATTGGGGATAGAGAGGGGTCAAAAATATGTGCTTTCCAAAAAATGTTTTTTTAAAGCAGCCTAATCGAAGACAGCTTTCATTTTTACTGGTTTCTGCGATCTTAAACCACTACAGCCGAGGTATCTCAGGCCTTCTCAAACCAAACCATCAAATTCATTAACCCCAATCCATTAAACTCCCGCAACACAACCCAACAGCAGAAGACAAACCATTGAAAGTCAATCAAAAAAAAACTGAAATGGAAGTGCATGCGATCTGGACATGTTCTGCAATTTTCTAGCTACGGCTCTCTATTTTTTTTTTGTTCATCAAATGTGTCTTTCATCCGAACACAGCTAACATCCCAAACCAACATCACACCGCGATCTTAAACCAGAAAAACAAAGTTCAACATCCTAACATACAAACAACAAGAGAAGGAAGAACAGCAATCAACGAAGCATTAGCAAAACTCAGCCCGAAACATTTTCATTTCCCTGAAATTTTCCATGCACCAGGTTCAGATGACATGCGTTTCCTCACTCGGCTTTGTCGAAAAACATACGAAATCTAAACACTCCAGCCCATGAAATCAATATCTACTGATGTAAAAGAGAGCAAACAACAGAGAGCGAATAAATCCACCATGAACCAAACACTCAAACAAGCAGCCACGGAAACAAAACACAGCGGCAAAGATTTCCTATATTCTGATCTAAATCTCATGATACTTGACTGAGAAAAAAAAATGAAAGTATTACCTTAATCACACAATGAAGCACAGAATGACCAAGGATAAGGGCTAACGGATTCACCAGATCTTCGGGGAAGCACCAGTGGAAAACAGCGCCGTTGACTCGGTCACCTGGAGCTTCGATCCTTCCTTCCCTTCCAGCAGCCTTTCCTCTTTCTTGCTACCACCTGAAACTCCTTGCTCCTCCGTGGGTTTCTCTCTTCCGTCCGTTGCTCCTTTTTCTCTCTGATTTTTAGCCTCACTCCTTCTTCAGCCGCCAACCCCTTCTACCTTTCAGCCGTCATCAGACTTCACTCTCAGCTGCCCAACCTCCTTCCTAGCCTTTCTTTCTTACTCACTCTTTCAGCCCGTCGCCTCTTTGCAACCTTAGCCGCCCTTTTTCCCTTTCTTCACCTCTCTCTGCTCTCTCCCTTTCTGACCCACAAAACTCTCTCCTTTCCACCCTAGCCGTCTGGTCTCTTTCTTTTATCAGCCATCCCCCCCTTTCTATCCTGAACCCTTAACTTTGCTTTTATATCCCATCCAAACCCCTTAAACCTCATCTCAATGGCTCTAAACAACTTCAGCTCCTTCCCTTATTGTTAGCCATTGATTATGGCTTTGAATTGGAGCACTTAGATGGAACTAGATGGCCTGTACTTACCTCATCTAACGGAGCCAGAAAACACAGTAATGAAAATAGACAAAATGCAAGAAACCGCAGAAGCTATCTCTTTTTTTCCATTTTTCATTTTCATTATTCATTATTTCTAACAAATAAAGCAGTAAAAGTCAAATAAAAATAAGATTCAAATAAATGAAATGCCCTAAAAAATTTAATTTTGATTGATGGTTTTTTCCTTCTTTTTTCTCTTTTTTTTCATGAATCATTTAATTAAACAACAATAACAAAAAATAACAATTTAAATAAAAAACTCGAATAAAATGAACAAAAACCAGGAACAAAAGATAAAACAAAAGGCTAAGATTTTTTCCTGTGTTTGATTAATGATTTTTCCTCTTTTTTTTCAATTAATAAATAGTAAAAAGAAATAAAACATATTTTTTTATGAATAATTTTCTCTTTTGACAAATTTTATGCTAAAAGTCTTAAAAATAAAGATAAACAGCTAAAAGGGCAAAAACGAATACAAAATAAAAAAAAAATAATAGATAATAATAATCTAAAATGCTATACAAATGCTAAAAAAAGTCTAAAACCCAAAAACATGAAATTAACAAATAAAAATAGATAAGAATTATCACTAAAAACAAAAATAAAATAGAATAAAAATTATTTAAAAATTTGGTGTCTACAGTTTGCCCCTCTTTGTCTGAGTTTTGAAAAAACTTGAGACAAAAAAATAGACACCAAATATTTATCCGGCTGCAAACTAGTCAAACGACTGACGTTTTTGGAATGCGGACTGACCTGAAACAGGAATTTAAAATCGGGACTGACCCGAGACAGGAATTTTAAAATCGGGACTGACTCGATACAGAAATTTGAAATCGGGACTGACCCGAAATAGGAAATTTAAAATCGGGACTAATCCGAGGCGGGAATTTAAAATCGGGACTGACCTGAGACGGGAATTTAAAATCGGGACTGACCCGATACAGGAAATTTAAAATCGGAGATATTCCAGTATACTTACTTGAAAATAGCCCAATTCAAAATTTTTCATTTTCAAGGTTACGTTTTTGCTTCTGAGCCAAAGGTTGATTCTACATTACCGTTTTGTTGTGCCTTTGATCAAACCTGCTTGCAACTTTTTCGATCCGCCTTTGTTTGCTGGAAAACTTTCTGATACCGACTCCAGTGCGAGATGTGATTGTTTTCATCCATGCATGAAATTTTTCTACACAAGAGAAAGAATAAGGAAATTGCCACCATCATTTGATCCGGTTCCCTCTGAGAATCGTGTAAACATGAGTCTTTTGATGCCTTTGTCAACTTTTGATGTGGTATTTGATTTAGTTGGATTTATTACTTCAAAGACTTTCTGATTTTTCCCAGACTGACCAGGTATGCCTTTAGCCATATTATGAGATTTGTGTAACAGGCCCTGCTGAATCACGACCATTTCCAAAAGATGACTGAATCCAAGGTATGTTTTGCACAAATCACGGGGATTGTCATTTATTAAAATTCAATGATTAAAAAAATGATGTATGTAAGATAAATTCACATGTCATGCAGAAATGAATATGCAAAAGAATGCAGACACAACCAACGGTGCTTAAACCTACAAAATGCCATGAATACAAGCAATTTGGAAAAAATGAGCTTCCTAAGAATGTATTTGCAAAAGAATATTTTACAAAATGACATAGCTTTTGGCCAACAGATATCATATTCGAATCTCTGGATATCTTTGTTCTGGAATTTCAACATTGGCAGAAGCATTACAAAACGAAAAGAAATCCAAATGAACCAAGTCACCAGTTATTCTTCCTCGTGCTTGCTTGTTGCAACCCTACCTCGGCGCCTTTTCAGGTTTTCACCAAGGTTGCTCCCACCCTTTTTGCTCTTGTTTTGTTTTTCTTTTCTTTTTCTCTCATTTTTTTTCTCTTTTTTTTTTCTTTCTTTTTTTTTTCTTTTTTTTTTCGAGGTGCCCTTTCGGGTTTTCACCTATGGAACAAAGGAAAATCTCGACCATAATCGACTCAGGAATATAAGTTGAAAATCGCTGACATCAGTAAAATGCGCTTCCCTTATAAGCTTAGGCGAAGGCATTATGGACATCACTTGCCAGTTGATTAGCAACTTCTTAATAGAAATACAGGACTTTGGGCTTTTATAATGAGGCCAGGTGGGGTGTTTTCAAGAAAAGTTGAGGCTTGAAAATAGATTTGATGAGGTGTGAAATAACCTGAGATTGCAATCATTTTGAAATGATTTCCAATTTTGAACAAAAACTGAGGAAAATTTGCCCCAGTTTGATTGGATTTTCTCTCTTTGCATTTTTCATTGCATTTTCCTCACTTTTGCATTTTTTTTTTAGAAAACTAAATTTGCCCTAGTGTGGGATTTTTTCCACTCTTGCCTTTTTTGGATTATTTTTCTTTCAAAATAAATTTGCCCCAATATGGGGTTTGCAATTCTCAGGGGCTGTCCAGCGAAAATTATTGTTCTGATAGCTCAAAGGGGATGACTAGGGATGAAATGTTTTGATTGGAAAGGAAGATGGCCTGACTTTTGTCTCGTCACTTGCGTGACTTCTGAAAGAAATTTGCATAATCAAATAAAGAACTTCTTACACATGTCTGAGTTGATAGGTTGAGAGAATGTCTGTCCATCCATCTCTGCCAAAATGAGTGCTCCGCCAGGTAATACCTTTTGAACAATGAATGGCCATTGCCAGTTTGGAGCAAATTTGCCTTTGGCCTCATCCTGTACTGGCAAAATTCGTTTTAGCACTTTGTCGCCTTCCTCAAATGTATGCCGATGGACTTTCTTGTTGTAGGCCCGGGTCATGCGTTTTTGGTAACATTGACCGTGACAAATAGCATTAAGCCGTTTTTCATCAATCAAAGATAGTTGCTCATAACGCTGCTTTATCCAATCAGCCTCTTCCAACTTGGTCTCCATGAGAATACGCAGTGAGGGTATTTCAACTTCGGTTGGTAGTACGGCCTCCATCCCATACATGAGTGAGTACAGGGTTGCCCCAGTCGATGTTCGGATAGAAGTCCGATATGCCATTAGTGCATAAGGAAGTTTTTCATGCCAATCACGGTGCTTTTCAGTTATTTTGCGAATGATCTTCTTCAAATTCTTGTTTGCGGCCTCCACGGCTCCGTTCATCTGCGGTCTATAGATGGCAGAGTTGCGATGTCTGATTTTGAATTGTTCGCATAACCCGTCCACCATGTCATTGTTAAGATTCTTGGCATTGTCTGTAATCAATGTTTCTGGCACCCCAAATCGGCATATGATGTGATCTCTTAAGAAATTTGCCACCACCTTCTTAGTCACATGCTTGAATGATTCTGCTTCGACCCATTTGGTGAAGTACTCAATTGCTACCAATATAAATCGATGCCCATTTGAAGCAGGAGGGTCAATTGTGCCAATCACATCCATACCCCACATCGAGCAGGGCCATGGGGCAATCATACTGTGCAATTCGGTGAGAGGAGCGCGTATTACGTCGCCATGCACTTGACATTTAATACATCTCCGGACAAAGTCTATGCAATCACGTTCCATAGAAAGCCAAAAATACCCGATTCTCATAATTTTCTTCGCCAACAAATGTCCATTCATGTGAGGTCCGCAGACACCGCTATGCACCTCTTTTATCATGTATTGAGCTTCATCTTCATCGATGCACCTTAAGAGGTTCAAATCTGAGGTCCTTTGTATAATACCTCTCCATTTAAGAAAAACTTCGAGGCCATTCTGCGCAGGAAACCCTTGTCATTTGCACTAGCTTCTGGAGGGTAAGATCCGGTTTTGATGAATTCCTTAATATCACTGTACCAAGGGCTTTTGTCAGATGTTTTGTCTACGACCCAACAATGAGCAGGCTTGTCTTGGAGTTGATTCGGATAGGCTCGATTTCTAATTCGTCCGGATATTGTATCATAGAAGATAAGGTGGCTAAGGCATCGGCAAATACATTTTGGGCTCGTGGGAGATGTCTGAATTCCAAACTTTGAAATTGTCTAGCCAAACTAAGCAAATTACAATGGTATGGCAAGATCTTTGAATCTTTGGTTATCCATTGCTTCAACGTTTGGTGCATAAGTAAATCTGAATCACTGAAGGCTATCAACTCTTTAACTTCCATTTCCAAAGCCATTTTAAGACCAAAAATATAGGCTTCATATTCGGCCATATAGTTTGTGCAGGCGAATTGCAATTTAGTGGCTCTGGGATAATGCTTCACTTCCGGGGATACAAGAACTGCTCCTATTCCGACTCCAAAAGAATTAGCTGCACCATCGAAAAATAATCTCCATTCAGGGCACCGCTCACTCATATATTCTACGGCACCAACAAATAAAACCTTTTCATCAGGGAAATAGGTATGGAGCGGTTGATAATCATCATCCTTTGGATTTTCTGCCAAATGACCGGCTATAGCTTGTCCCTTGACGGCCTTTTGTGAAGTGAAAACAATATCAAACTCTGAAAGAATCATCTGCCATTTGGCCAGACGCCCAGTTGGCATTGGCTTCTCCAAGAGGTATTTCAGAGGATCGGAGCGGGAGATGAGATAGGTGGTGTGACTTAGTAGGTAGTGCCTTAATTTTTGAGCTGCCCAGGCCAGAGCACAGCAGCTTTTCTCAATAAATGAATAATTAGCCTCATACTGCGTGAATTTCTTGCTAAGATAGTAGATGGCTTGCTCTTTCCTTCCCGAGTCATCGTGCTGCCCCAGAACACATCCTACTGCTCCGTCGAGCACAGATAAGTACATGATCAAAGGCCGGCCCCGTTTGGGTTGCTCTAGGACCGGAGGCTGTAGCAAATAATCTTTAATCTTGTCAAAAGCTTGTTGGCACTCCTCATTCCAATGCAACGGCACATTCTTTTTTAACAACTTGAATAGTGGCTCGCACGTAGCGGTTAACTGGGCAATGAATCTTCCAACGAAATTAATCTTCCCCAAAAAACTTTTCACATCTTTCTGCGTTTTTGGCACTGGCATGTCTCGAATTGCCTTGATCTTCACCGGATCTATCTCTATGCCCTTTTTGCTGACAATGAAGCCTAACAATTTATCAGCTGGTGCGCCAAAGGCGCACTTTGCAGGATTTAACTTCAAATTGTACTTTCGCAACCTTTCAAACAACTTTCTTAAATCAATCAAATGGTCTTTTGCTTTCTTGTTTTTGATTATAATGTCATCCACGTAGATCTCCATCTCCTTGTGGATCATATCGTGAAACAAAGTAGTCATAGTTCTTTGATAGGTAGCTCCGGCATTCTTTAAACCAAACGGCATTACTCGATAGCAAAATGTGCCCCAAGGGGTAATAAAAACAGTGTTTTCTCTATCCTCTTCAGCCATTAAGATCTGATGATATCCAGCAAAACAATCACAAAAAGATTCAATTTCATGTCCGGCAGTGTTGTCTAGAATGATATGGATATTTGGCAACGAAAAGTCATCTTTAGGGCTGGCCTTATTAAGGTCCCTATAATCAACACAGACTCGCACTTCTCCATTTTTCTTCAGAACAGGGACTGGATTCGAGAGCCAAACAGGGTAATGGGATGCAATGATAATATTAGTCTTAAGTTGCTTTTCAATTTGCTCTTTTAGTTTGAGGCTCATATCTGGTTTGAATTTACGGGGTTTTTGCTTCACTGGTGGAAAAGCTGGGTTTGTGGGTAATCTGTGCACCACTACATCAGTCGAAATGCCAGTCATATCGTCATAAAGCCATGCAAACACATCTTGAAACATAGACAAAAATTCGATCATCTCCTCTTTCTGCTTTTTGTTCAAATGAATGCTAATTTGTATCTCCTTAACCTCAGTCTCAGTGCCAATGTTAACAACTTCTGTTTCTTCTAGGTTTGGTTTAGATTTCTCCTCATATTGTTCAAGATCTTTTGAAAAAGAATGAAATACCTCCTCACTATCACTCTTGTTTTGAAATTCGGATTCCATAACTTCCAAGTCGTGAGTGATATAGAGATTGTCATCATCAGATTCCAGAACGGTGATATCCAAAGGGTCAAATAATTTTATTTTTGGCCATCTGAAAGAATTAAGAAATTCGAGCCAATAAGCAAATAAACATGTAAACGAACAACATGATAAAAACAAACTATGCACCTCCATAAACTTCAAATCAAAGTGGAAACAAGCTAAGAGCATAAGTGCAAAATATGCTTTCATTGAACTATTTACATATGCAAGAAAAAGTTTTCATGAACTTTAGTAAACGACAACCCCCTGTAGATTTACCGAAACTCCTTTCGCACGGGAAAGTACTCGGTGGTCCAGTTGTGTATAGCTCCTTGGGGAATGTCTGGGAATTTGGCATCATCTGACGGACCATTTTCGGATATTGCTCCCACAAACAAATGAGTCAGGCTTGTCTCCACTTCGTCAATTGGGCTAAACTCAGATGTAATGACTTCAGACGGCCTTGGAAAGGTATAGCATAGTGGTGGAATGTCTAAAGCACCTAACTTGCCTTCCTTTTCTGCCCTCTTGTGTGCTTTCATCTCTTTTATATCCCTGGCAGTCGGACGGAATCCCAAACCAAATAGGCCCTTCTTTTCGATGAGTTCCACGAGCTTCAGAATGCCTTGTAGATTGCGTCCCAATCCCTTATCAAATTCATATCCTCCACGAATCATCTCCTTGGCCATCATAACACTGGCTGCTGGCAAATCCATTTCGTCTTTTGAATCCTCACTTGTTATCCAACTTACGGAGACAATATCAACTGTACGGTAAGAAGACACTGAAGCATTTAGGTTACCATCCTCCTCAGGCTCGGAATCGGCAATTACAACGCAATCTTCTTCAGCAAAAATGGTTATCTGCTGGTCATTCACTACAAATTTCAATACTTAATGCAAGGAAGAGGGCACAGCACCAGAGCTATGAATCCACGGCTGCCCGAGTAAAACATTATAGACACTAGGAAAGTGCATAACTTGGCAGGCTATCTGAAATTGAGCGGGCCCCATTTCGACCACCAAATTTATTTCTCCTATGGACTCCCTTTAGGCTCCGTCGAATCCTCTAACTACGGTCTCTGAGGGTTTTAATTTAACATCTTGCAACCCTAACTTCACCAACGTGCTCCAAGGACAAATATTGAGGGCAGACCCATTGTCGATCAGTACTTTAGGCAACATTTTTCCATTGCACCTCACAACTACATATAAGGCTTTGTTATGACCAGTTCCTTCCGCAGGCAGCTCTTCATTAGAAAAAGTGATTTGTTTAGCAATCAATACATTTCCGACTATGTGCGAGAAATTGTGAACCGAAATATCCTTGGGAATCCGAGCCTTAGTCAAAACTTCAAGTAACGCATCCCTGTGCAAGTCGGAGGAGAAAAGCAAGTCCAGCATGGAGATTTGGGCAGACATTTTGTTCAACTGTTCGACCACATTGTACTCGCTTCTCTTAAGCCTTCTAAGAAAATCCCATGCTTCTTCTTTGGTAACTGCGGGTTTGGTAGTCGGCTCACGATTGCTTACTTGAATTGGGGCGCTAGCAGTGGATGAACTTGCAATCCTTCCTGACCTCGTAACAATAGACACTTCTTCATTCAAAACTCGTTTACCCCAGTTTACAAAACGGGTTCATTATAATTCCACGGCACTTGTCGTAAACTTAAAACCGGCACTTGTTCTGGGAATTCAATTACCACAGGTTCTAAAGCCGCACTTTCGGATGGAGTTAGGTCTAAAATGAAGGGTCTTTTATCTTCCTCATACGATGCTTCCTCTATCACAAAAGGTTGATCCATTATACCAAACATTTCTGTCTCATTTGACATGCTTCGGACAAGCTCTTCGAATTCCTCATCATCCATAATAACTCCGACAGTATCAGTGTGCTCCGGCAAGGGGTTCTTGCTCACATTCGGTCCTTGCTCTTCTCTTTTCCTAATCACGATTTCCCCTACTTCGAGCATGTCTTGAACTTTATGTTTGAGGAGTTGACAATTGGCAGTGGAGTGACCAGGTACTCCTGAATGATAAGCACAAGTAGCTTGTGGATTATACCCAGCCGGCATGCCATAAGGGTAAGTTGGAGGGGGAATCACACATATTTTACCGGCAGCCTTTAATTGCTCATACAACTGATCCAAAGGCCTGCCTAGGTTAGTGAACGTTCGGGTGCGATTTTGATTGTAGGTTTCAGTAGATTGGGGATAGCTGTAGGTGGGTCTGTTCGGTGGGGGAACTCTTTGGTGGTAAAGAGGTCGAGGACGAGTTTGTTGGAAGTTAGGTTGAGATATTTGGAAAGGGGCCGTAGGCGGGTTGGCGTAATTTGGGCGAGGTCGGGGGTAAGAGATATTGGTATTATAGATAGGGTGAGGACTTGGATAGTAGGGATAAGGTGGTGAATAGGTTGATTTGTGTTGAAATCTGGGTCTTGGTGTAAGGTTTTGATCCCAGATGAAGGCAGCTTCCCCCTCTTTCTTTTTAAATTGTGGTTTTTTCCTACTACTCCCTTGTCCTTGCAGAGCATCCAACTGCGATTTGAGGGCAAAGACATTAACAATCTTCCCAACTCTTACGAAGTCATCGTACTCCTCAAGCTTATTGACAATAGCGGCGAACGAGCATCCAGTCATGCGAAAAATTTCTTCAAAGTACGGCGAATCATGTGCTTTAATGAAAGTGCATATGATTTCGTCCTCAGTCATTGGTGGCTCGACTTTTGCAGCTATTTTCCTCCATCTCTTAGCATAAGTCGTGTGATCCTCAGAGGGTTTTCTCTTTGTTCCTTCCAACGTGGTTCGTGTCGGGGCCAGCTCGCAGTTATACTCATACTGCCTCACAAAAGCATTGGACAAGTCAAGTCAGGTCTTTACTTCTTCGGGTTTCAGATTGGAATACCAGTCGAGTGCATCCCCCTCCAGACTTTTCGAAAACAACCTTAAAGGCAGATTCTCATCGTCTACGGGCTTTCCCAACTTGTTAGCAAACAGCCGGAGGTGTGTTTTAGGATTACCCGTCCCATCATACTTGTTAAATTTAGGGGTTTTGAACCCCTCAGGCAACTGAACATTCGGAAAAAGGCAAAGCTCATCGTAATCCAGGACTCCTTGCTTGTTCAAACCCTGACTTTTCCTCATAAATTCATCGAAACGGCCTAGGCGCTTGAGCAGCTTCATATCAACGGGAGCAAAAGATTCTCCTATCTCTGGTTTAGCTTGGACAGTATGGTCTGGCAGGAAGGGCTCAGGAGCAGTGTGATAAAAGGTATGTGGCTCAGGTGGTATATTTGAAGTGACTTGGGGTTGTGGACCTCGCATGTGAGTAGGAAAAAATGAAGGATTATGAGGGTAAGTGTATGGCAAATTTGTGGTGGCATAAGTGAAAGTTTCTTTGGGTGGAATAGGGAATGATGGAGTAAAGGTAGCTTGAATCGAATGTATGACAAATGGTTCTTGCTCAGGTTGTCTAACGGGTACGGGCTCGGGTTGAACTCCGCTGCTGATAAGCTCATCAATCAATTTCCTTTGGGCCGCCATCTCGGTAGCCATCTCACCAAACTTAGTAAGCATCTCGGTTAGCTGAACCCCTAAACTCGTAGTTTCAGGTTGAGCGGTAGTAGCAGACCTATCCGATGGTTCCGATTGTGAACTCATATTTACACGACTCCTCTGGGCTTGACTACGGGATCGTGCTATGATGGGGTTTCGACGAGAAGCTATGTTTAAATATTACCTGAAAATTTTGAAAGGAATCGCCTTTAGTTTTAACCCTTGCTTAGCTTTTCCAAAAAAAATACGAAGAAAAAGAAAAAGACAAGAGTTAGTAAATATCCAAAAATTGGGATGCATGTCCTATTGGGGGCCCTTTTTACGCCAAGGGTTGGCCTAGTATGATGCAACACCTTCAAAATGGGACCCGTGACACAAACCTATTTTTGACAACAATCCTTTATGAATGCAAAGAAAGATCGATTTCATTGATAAACTTGCCAACATGTTTACATCATGTCACAAAGACGATTCTGTACAAGATTGCCAAAATTTCTGAGCCTATCTAATACAGAATCCCTAGTTTCTCTAGCATATGGAATTCCAACATGTTTAGCTTGATCATACAATTCTCCGCATTTCCTTTTCAGCTCTTGACGCTTTTCTCGCTCATTTTCGTAGAATTGCTTGTTTTGCTCCGCTATTCCCTTGTATGTTTCGACAGACTTACTTAACTGCAGAATTTCCTTGTCCTTTGCTTTGATAATGGCTTTCAACTTTTCCACCTCCTCGGCTGGTTCATGTTGTTTTCCTTGTGCAGCGGATCTTCTTGCCCAGTCTTCGTATTGTGGAGTCGTCAAACCCTTCTGCTTGAGTTCCGGGATGTATTTAAAACACTCGTCATCGGATATCGTCACCCATGCCTCAATAATCTGGTCTTTCATAGGGAATTGGTTTGGGCACGTTTCTTCATTAAAAATGATGGTAAACTCACTCACATCAAGTGCAAGCGGCACTTCTTGGGTACGTCCTAACTGTCTGAGAAACCTCTTTGGGGTGTATGCAGTGATTCCTTGGGTACCCAGTAAGAAAACAAATTCGGATGCCTGGGTGCGAAGAACAGGTTTAATACAATTCGTCCAATCCAATACCCATCTAATATTTTGATCGGTCACATTCTTCAAGAAATCCACAAACTCAGATGCATTACATGGCAGACTATCTCTATTAACCCTCTTGTGATGTGTGACTATCCAGTTGTACGCAGACATTGGTAGACTCTTAGGAATAGACGATCGTCTCATGAAGTGCTTCATACCCCATACATGTAGAATTCAATTTGAACCACAAAAGAACTTTTTTCCTCTCTGACAGGTAGTGCAGGCTACGAAAATATCGGCCAAAATAGTCGGGATAATAGAACACTGCTTATCTTTCACTCCTAGGAATAGGTCATACAAGATTTTAGTGAGGTCAAAGGCTATCT